TCAAGCTGGGTGTGACAAACACTCTTTAAGTGGTGTTGGTTAGACGTAGCCGTGTACATGCGGGCAGAGAGTCCATGACTCACCTGCTCCATATTTGAAATATAGACTCATGGCACACTTTAAATTGGCATAAAAAAGAATCCTCCCCTTCCCTGAGCCTAAGTAAAACCAGCCAACTTTTGCAGAGCAGGATGGATCAAAACAAACCAGATACAGCTGTGTAAAAACACTAACAAAATTGTCACAGTGACTTAATTCATCAATCAACAAATTTTAATATTCAAACCTCTCAGTTGCAACATGGTCATCAGAAAATTATAATAAACTGTATTTAACTGTCTAATTATTTCAGTCACTGACCCAAAATGAACTCTCTGTAAATCCATTCATCTAGTGTTAGTTCATTTTAGCTTAATTTTAGCTGTTGTGCTCTGCTCAGAAGTGACTTGTGAAGCACCAGTGTTTCCATAGCCACAGTGACTGCTCAGGTTTTCTACTTGTAATTTCCTCTGGTTTCAATGACTGCTGTGATTGCTCCCCCTCCACCCTCCATGGGTGCTTCTCATTGCCTCAGGGAGCCAAGTGTCCGCCCCAGAGCAGCTGAGGAAATGATGGAAGAAATTGCATGTAAAAAACCAGTACAGCAGCCTCTTCTGTGGAGATAAAGTCAACCTCACAACAAACACAGACATCAGCTGGGCAACCAGTCCAACTTTTCCAAGCTGGTTCCCTCTTTATTCCCCATTTCTACACATCCTACAGTCATGACTTGGCCTGGATGTGACCAGCGCTGTGGCCATGCCTCTGCCCCTGGAGCACGGGAGTGCAGGACCATGGCCATGCCTCTGCCCCTGGAACTCAGGGAGTGCAGGACCATGGCCATGCCTCTGCCTCTGGAGCTCAGGGAGTGCAGGACCATGGCCATGCCTCTGCCCCTGGAGCACGGGAGTGCAGGACCATGGCCATGCCTCTGCCCCTGGAGCAAGGGCGTGCAGGACCATGGCCATGCCTCTGCCTCTGGAGCTCAGGAAGTGCAGGACCATGGCCATGCCTCTGGAGCTCAGGGAGTGCAGGACCATGGCCATGCCTCTGGAGCTCAGGGAGTGCAGGACATGCTGACAGCAGATCCCACCTGTGTGCTGTTGTGCAGGGAGATGATTTATCTTAACCTGCCTTGTGTCAGTAGGGTCAGATGCAACTGGTGCCATGCCATTCAAATCAAACTTGGTGGGACCCACTTGTAAAGCTGGGGTGCCAGGCTGGAAGGCTTGCCAGCCTCACTCCTGTCTGCCCAAGCTCAGCCTCAGGGTGCTAGGCTGGCAGGAGCTTCCCCAGCTCCAGTTCCTCCCAACAAACCTGCCCAGTATCACTTCCTCCTCACATACCTGCTGCAAAACAATGGGCCCTGCAAAGCTAAACCTCTACAGGAAAGCAGGGTAGCTCCTGGTATAAAAAAAACTTCCTATATTGAGTAAAACAATTGATGCTGTATTTCTTCAGCATGTTGCCTAATAAGTTCAGGAAATAGCTTTACTGTGACTCTTATCACCACGGAGCTCTTGTTCCACAGTTAAGAGTCTCATCAGAAGCTAAATTATTTGTGAATCTAATTACATCTTTTTTGGCATATATAACAGACCGTTGTGTGACAAAAGCTACAGTAGGAGTTGAGAGGCTCATATACAAAGCCAACTTCACAATGAACCTGAGGCTGAAAATAGCCTGAAATCAAAGCAAGAGACATTAAGCATCTTTGTAACAGTCCCTGCTCCTGGAGCACTTCCATGGCTCCCACTGCTGCAGTGTCTGACCACAGCCACGGGTGCACAGGCAGGGTTGTGAAAGGACCAGCCCACAGCAGGGCAGGGGAGCAAATCCTGCCACCTCATGTTCAAGGCCTGCTTCTTATTTGCTGGCCTGCATCTCCCCCACACTTTTATATGTAAGCTGTGAGAATTCACAAGCCCCAAGCTCATCCCACAGCTGAGAAGGAGCAAGCATTTCACACTCCAAGCACTTATTTTTAAGGAGCCCATGACATATTTTCAGAATTGACTTGGTTGCTTGAGTTTGATTCAAAGCTGTATGAGGGAATAGATTTGCTCCCACTCAACTCTGGGCACTTTGGAGCCTGCCCCAAAACCAACCAGCTCCTCCTCCTCTTTCCCTCATTCCCTGTTCCCAGGTGGGTATGGCAAAGCCAGGAAGTGGTGCCAGTACCTTCCTACCTCTTGGCCAGAAAAAGCTGCATTTCAGGGGCTGCAGCTGCAGTTTTGAGCAGCAGGTTGGAGGGAGACTAAATAGAAGGAAAAGAAAATGACAGAAATTGCAAAGGAAAAGCAACAATGAGTGTAAGAATAGAGAAGAAAGACATTGTGACTGAGGGGGAAAGATTTTCTTGGATAGTGGTTTTTGTAACAAAAAAAAATTACTGTTGCTCTGCCTGTTAACATAACCCCATTACCATGGAACTCGGCTGGTGCCACATACACACTCCCCATTACCATGGGCATTTCTCTACCTGTCTCATATGATGCTAGAGAAGACAGGTAACATCTGCCAGGCTTGTACAGCAGCCCAGCAGAATATTAATCCATCAGCAACTGCCCTGCACTGGCTATCAAACCTGATCTGAATTTCATTTCACTAACATTTTCCAAAAAATATTATCAGAGGATAGAAAACTTTTGCTAAGAAGCACATTTTAGTGCAGACTTTGAGCAACTGTCCCTTAAACCATTACAGAGAGTGTGGAGTATATAGAAATAAAAACTGTAATTAAAAAACACATGGGTTTTACTCAGGCCATGATACAAAAAAAAATACAAATTAACTAAGTGTGGAAGTTTTAGTATAGTACTATCACTGTTACATTTATTTGGTAAAGAGGATAAAGCTTAAACCTGTTATGAGAAACAAGTTGCATTTTCCTGGAAGACAGCACACCCCGTTCTATGAACAGGGAGAACTTTGGGGAGTGATGAATGGTGCTCTTTCTCTGCTAGTTGGGAGATCTCCTGCTTTTAGGGTTTCTTTACATATTTTACATTGAGGCAGGTCCTGCAGAAACCCCTGCTTATCCAAGAGTTCCCTGATGGTGGAGTAGGGAGCTGCTGTTCAGGGACATCTCATCAGGGTGAAGCACAGGAGGGGGTGCAGCAATCAGAGATCAGGGCTGTGTGGAGGCACCCACCACAGGGCAAACACCTTTTGGGTGTCAATCAGAAAGGCAGTTTCTGTTCAGTGTACAGACCAGGAGATAATTGCTTGCTGAAGCAAACCACATGAATACATTTTCCTCTCACAACAGATCCTTATGAATGCAAAAATATTTGCTGATCTTGTGATCTGGGGGGCATGCTGCACACTTGTGTTGTGTTGTGCAATATCCTGTAAGTTTTCACTTTTAAAGACTTACTGCATAGCTAAAGCTTCCATCCTGCAATCAGATACATTCCTGCCCTCTTAATCAAGCTGGGCAATACATTTCCAGCCAAAAAATAAAATCCAAAGATGCTTTCCTTTAGATAAGCTGTTAGCTTCAAAGCTCAGCAAGGAATTGAGTCATGGTAATGTGACTAAGCACAGAGGAGAAGTTTAGGGAGAAGAGCCATGAAGAACCAGCCTGGCCAGATTGTCAGCTGGCATTAATCACCCTCACACTACTCCCAGAGCTTGATTGATTCTCCCTGAAGACCAAGGCATTGAAAAGTAACTATACCAAATGTACGAGCTCTAAAAGTCAGGTGGCTTGTTTTCCAAGGAAGTTCAGCAATGCGAGGGCTGAAGCTCCCAGGGCAGCACTGGCCCACAGCTGTGTCCCACCCTGTGCAGTCAGTGGGTGCACAAATGAGGAGAATCTCACATAGGTGTGGTCATGCACAGTTAGCCCTAACATCAACACCGACTTTCGTATTTCCTCATTGTATTTTTATTCTTTTTAACTGTTCAAATCTAGTATTGCAATGGGGGTGGGGAGGGCTTCCTGGAAGTGCCTGGAGGATGGTGGTTCACTGAAATGTGTTTTTGCCTCTGCCCTTCTGTTTTCTACCAAGAGAGGGTTTACCCTGAAGCGTGGGTGGAGAGAAAGAGAGCACAAGCAGAAAGAACAGCCAGGCAATGGCAGAAAAAATTCATATGTCTTTCTTTAAGTCTTGCCTCCATGTGGATAAGTGATTGCCCAGAAAAGAGGCAACCACATAACATCCTGTTTACTCAACTTTGCAACGACAGAATTTTGATTTTGGACTTTCTCCAATTGCAAAAGAACCTCAGATTATCATAGTGAGAGAAATGACTCCTTTTACCTTGTAACTGCAGGGAAAGAGCTTGAAAACAGGAGACCAAAAGGATTTTCAAACAAAAGTCAAATAACAAATATGGAGCTGATCTCCTCATTTCAGTTATTTGCTGGTTTTAGGTCAGCTGTGCGTTTGGGCTTAGCTGTGGAGTGTCACTGCTGGTCCTTTCAACCTGTGCTACCTCACAGCTCCCGGGTTCTGCATGCCTGGGAGTGCTCCTGGCAGCAGGGTGGGAGCCTGGAGGGAGCTGAGCAGGAGCATTTTGCTGGCAGCTGCTGGCTCTGCTCTTCACCAAACAGGAGGGAATTCAGCCTATAATTAGCAACAGCTCACCTGCTCTGGGAGCCATTCCCAGAGCTGAGGACACTCACTGCAAGCAGGTTCTTAGCACTGTGAGACAGACAAATCCATGTCCCTTTCAAAAGAGGTTTCTGGCCCTAGCACAGGGACTGGGAATGCCAGCGGTTTTATGGGGGCTGGATAGATTCTTTACACTGCATCCTTCTGCCCAGGATCAAACACATTACTCAACACTGTGTTTTTGCTTGGAGAGAAATTTGGATTTTTACTAAACTAAATTTGGAACACAGAACAGCATTAAATTAGTTTTAAACTATATATAGAACCAAGCTGTATTTTAAAAAAAATTTAAATACAGATACATTGAATATAGGAAACACATAGTAAATGCTCACTTACCCAAAAAGCATCTTTAAACTGCAGCTGGGTCATTATTATTGCTCTGTGGAGGGGTAGGAATCCTTCAGCAAGTCTGTTGTGGGGTGAGAGCAGCAGCAGGCACAGCTCTGAGCCTTGTCACTGCACCCCAGCCCAAGCAGAGAGTGCAACACATCCACAGACCTGTCCCTCCTGAAGTCAGGCTGGTGCCAACAGCATGGGGCTGTCCCAGGCAGCTCAGAGAAATGACCTGTGGCTGTGAGGGACAGAGGGCAAAAGAGCTGTGGCTCACACGCAGAGACAGGCAAGTGCTCAGCACCCGCACCCCAAACCTGTTTCTCTTCTGGTGAACAGTTAATATTGAAATGAGGAAGCAAGGAGATGTCAAATGGTGTCAGGCTGCTCCTTGCCATGGGTGCGTGTGAGCAGACAGGAAAAAAATAGAGGGGGAAAAAAAAGGCACTAAGTTCAGTGATATGATTTGATCAGATGCAGGAAGAGAGAGGACAATTACAGTGCAAAAGAAACCAGCACAATACATAGAGACAAGCTATTCTCAAATGCTGTGGTCTTGCAAAGAAAAAGAAGCAAAAGAAACATAGGTGCCCCATTTCTGCAGCACCTTCAGGGGCTGGCAGAGGCCCATGCCTTTGCACACAAGAAGCTTAGCTCAAAGCTGCATTTTGCAGCTGGAAAGGCTTTTCAGGACTCAGGTTAAATTAAGAACTCTGAGAAGTGTGCAGGTGTCTGCACACATTTAGATACCTGGATGTCAATGTTGAGAACACTCCTGATTTGCATGCCCTCACATAAATGTTCATATGAATATGCAAGATATGTGAAATTTAGAAGTAAAATCCAAAGTCTTGAAAAAGAAGAGAGCTAAGAGTTTGTTAGCACCAGGACCTGAGCGAAGCCTCACAGACCAGTGAAGCAGCAGCACTCAGACCACACTCAGCACACTGCTGACACCAGGTATTTCAGGCAGCTCCCCAAATCAGCTCCTCCAGTTATAACACAGCTGCAAATACCTGAGCACAGGGTAACACTGCTAAAGCTTCCCTGAAACCCTCTCCAAAGCACCTATCCTCCAGGTGAGGTTGCCTCTCTTCATCTTCTTAGGATGTTTTAAGCATTCTTAAATACCTGTTTTTAAATACTCACTCACATTTTTGGGGTGTAGGGAAAGAAAAGAAAAATAGTCCTGTGGTGGTTGCCCATGCAAAAGCTGTCTGTCCCCACCAAGAACACATCAGGACTGACTGACGGGTGCTGCTGTTTCCCCGCTGCCCCCAGCAGCAGCCCCGGGGCAGATCATTCCGCAGTGAGGAACTCTTGCAACTTCGCTGGGCTGCAGCAGGGCTCGGGCTCTGCTCAGAGCTCCGCAGAGCTGCAGGCTGCAGCCACCCCTGCTCACTCCATGGGCAGTCTGTAGCTGCTGTTTAAAAGAATTTGCAAGGTTCCTTCCTGATGGTCTGAAGAAGACAGGGAATATGCGGGGACTTCGTGAGGGAAAATGAAGTGCAAGCAGAGAGAGCCTGGAGGGTCAGAGGTGGAGCAGGAAGAAAGCATCATTGCATGAGTGTGGGAGGAGAAATGTGAGGATTCACGTGCAGTGTTGAGGAGAAAGGAGTGAAGCTTCCTTCCAGAAGGGAGAATTCCTTCAAAAAATGTATTTTGAGGGCATGGGCACTGGTCATACTTGATCTGTATCCAAAAATAAAAGGATCTTTTTAGAGTGTTTTATCTCAGTCCTTCCAAACCCAAATGTTTCCTGTTACTATTTCCAAGTTACAGCTGTGTTTTGAAACCATCTTTGCTGTTGTTGGGGTTCATAAAAATAAACCGAGCGTGGTTTAGCCCTCTAAAATATTACGCTACTTTCCTGTTATTTTTAGTTTGGCCTCCAACCACAAAGCCAATTATTTGCCTGAACCTCACGCTGGGCTATGCCGGCACCCATCCCACCCAAGAGCTCTGGTGCAGCAGTCACCTCCCAGCAGCTCCCAGGGATGCTGTCTCCAATGCCATCAGCACGGGCAGGTCACTGTGCTGTGGTGAGCTCCTCGGAACAGCCCAGAGCAGCTCTCCAGTCCAGCTACTTTGAGGATTTGTCAGAGTAGTTGGCGTGAGTCCCAGCCCCGGCTGTGATGAAGCAGATTTGGGTCGATTTGGGTCCCTGCCCCCCTGTGTTATGTCCATGGGGTGCTGCACCAGGCTTTGCAGGGCTTTACAAGGGGGACACAATTGTGTATCCCCTCTGCTCTAACAGGAACAGGACACAAGGCTGTGGTGGCTAACAGGGGCCCTGAAGGTCTCAGAGTTACATGCCGGGGTCGGCTGTCAGTGGTCTCTGCCCCAGCACGGGAAAAGGTGCTTCTGGGCAGGCCACGCTCTCCAAGAAGGAGTCTGGACTCTTGCTTTTGGTCTTCAGTTGAGTTTATTGTTCCTTATCTACAAAGTTTTTCTGTCTGTCCAGCCCTGTGCTGTGGTGAGCTCCTCGGAACAGCCCAGAGCAGCTCTCCAGTCCAGCTACTTTGAGGATTTGTCAGAGTAGTTGGCGTGAGTCCCAGCCCCGGCTGTGATGAAGCAGATTTGGGTCAATTTGGGTCCCTGCCCCCCTGTGTTATGTCCATGGGGTGCTGCGCCAGGCTTTGCAGGGCTTTACAAGGGGGACACAATTGTGTATCCCCTCTGCTCTAACAGGAACAGGACACAAGGCTGTGGTGGCTAACAGGGGCCCTGAAGGCCTCACAGTTACATGCCGGGGTCAGCTGTCACTTGTCTCTGCCCCAGCACGGGAAAAGGTGGTTCTGGGTAGGCCGCGCTCTCCAAGAAGGAGTCTGGACTCTTGCTTTTGGTCTTCAGTTGAGTTTATTGTTCCTTATCTACAAAGTTTTTCTGTCTGTCCAGCCAAGGTCTGATCAGCAAGACAGCCAAGGGCACTCTCTCCCACCCACAGGGCGGTTGTCTCTTTTATAGTGAAAACTACGTATAAGATATTTACCTTCAATTTCCAATACTTTTCGCCCTTGTTGGCAAGTGCACTTTCACTATGAACCAATCCACACATGCCAACATCATCCTGGACATGGATGCCAAGGAGAAGAAAGAAGAAGGACAGGGCACGCCCAAATCCCTCCATCTTAGAACCCCTGACCCCCATGTATAGAATTTCAAACCCCCCTGTACAACATACAAAACCCCCCTCTACAGTGCTCCGAAGTTTTTCCCTTCACCATGTGATTCCTACTTAAACTTTTGTGGCCTGTAATTCTTTATATAAGGTTGGCAATTTGCTCTATGAATTAAGGTCGAATTTCCAAGTGTCTTTGGCTTCCTGCCAGGGTCTCCGAGCCCCTGCCAGGGCTTTGAGACATCCAGGGCATCCAGAGAGATGCTCTGGGTTCCGACAGTCACACATAACCCCGGTGCCACACCTGAAGGTAACATTGACCCTCACAGTGTAACCGGGGCGCTGTGGAGCGCGCCCAGGCCGTGCCCACACGAGCAGCCATTGGCTGGCTGGCCGGGCGCCGGCCTTGGGCAGCTCTGGCGCTGCTTGGAAGTTCCAACTGTTAAAGATATAGTTAGTAATTCATGCAGAGAGGGAATATGTATAAAAGCATCTCTGATTTATAATGGTATCCCTTCTTGCTGGTAACTGAATGGACATACAACCATGGTAAGAACAGGCTTATAGCTTCTAAGAGAAAAGACTATGAGTTTTACAATATATCTAAAAATGAACTTACTGTATACAGGGAAAGGGAGAGGGAGGAATTTTTATCCTCAGGATGGCAAAACCGCGGCAGATGGGCAGAGAAACACCACATTTACCTGCGAAGACCAACCTGAATATGAAGAGCTCAGAAAGAAACAAAGGGACTCTGCCACGGGCGAAATAAATCGTGTAAGAAAAGAATCGCTGCCTCAGAGCAGCCGGGGTGGACAAGGGGGACTTGGTGCCATAGAGACCATTTCCCATGTTCACCCAGCTCACCTCCCGGAGTGTTCTGCTGTTTGACTGTTGGCTGTCGGGACCACCTCCCGGAGTGTTATGCTGTTTGATTGTTGGCTGTCGGGACTATATTACGGTCGCGAAACAAATTCTTTTTATATTTTTATTATAATTGGGCATATTTTCATTTTTACTTATAACACAACCAACTGTTCCTGGCTCCAGCATTAAGGGGATTTTAGCCTGACCAGACAGGCTCACTCGGAAATCCAGAAGGGTCAACAAGGAACTCTTCCCTGACAGCCACTGCCTCTCCTTCCGCCTCTACTCTTAGAGGTTAAAAATCAGGTGTTCTGTTTCATAGCACCAAGAACACACTTCCTGAGAGTTTTCCCCCAAGTAATTAAATTGTTTGGCAGCAGAATGTACCATTTCAATCCATTCTGTAGTAAAAAGTCAGAGTAAGTCTGATTTTTTTAAAACTGTTTTTAAAGCCCTCAAATTTAATCATTCTTTAGAATGGAAGTTCAATTTTTAACTATATACCACTTTGAGCAAAGCTTTTTATCAGGGATTTGGGTGGCAGGTTTGGATTTGACAGTAGGTAAAATATGAAAATAGCATCTACAAACATTTTTGTGCTCATCCAGGATGCCAAGCAAGACATTCTTCAGAGGAAATGTTTCTGACTTTGGGGAGTTCAAGTAGACCTTTTACTATACACAGCAAGAGGATGAGGGAGTCCATGAAAAGCATTAAGGCAGAAGACAAAGAAATGCTGAATACTCAGATAATCCGAGTGCTGAGATGGTTGTAACTGTCAGAAGTCCTCAGGTGTATTGTGGTCCCTTGGAATGGTGCTTTGGGAAATGCCAGTGGACACTGGAAGGCACCGGTGCAGTCCTTCCCAGCCTCCAGAACCTTGCATCTTACATACGGCTTCCAAACAACAGCTGCTGTGCAGCCATGTCCAAACTCCAACAGCCCAGCTCCCGGTGTCCATCTGGGCCCCACAGCCTGGGGACAGCAGCAGCAAGGAAACCACTGCCAGAGGAGAGCCATGGCTGAAACAGACACAATTCAGCTGCTGAGCTGCGCCCGCCGCTCTGATCCCACACGAATCATCTCTGAATTTCCATGCAGGCAATGGCAGAGGCTTGCAAATGATCCCAAATCATACCCATTCAAAATGCTGAAATCACCTTGCCCTCTGTGAGGAGCCAGTCTGTGTTCCCATGGAAACTGAAAGTGCAGCCTCTGAACACCTGGCTTGGTTTGCTCCAGCTACCCTGGGCCATTGTGGCTGTGGCTGGAGGCTGCTCCAGCACAGCCCAGACCCCACCCCAGGCTCTGTTTGGCCTTGAAACTCAACTCCCTCTGCTCCTGTTAGAGGGAACTGCTGGAACAGCCTTCCAAAAGCAGTCTCACAGTGCAAGACAGTCCTGCTGGCCTTCAGCTTCAGTAAAATCCTCTTATGTAACATTTTACAGCAGTTTCTGATAGAGGCCATCACTGAAAGGTGGACCCTGTTTTGCTGTTTTACCCAAGAGAAAGATCATCAGCCTCTGCCATAATCATAAAGAACATTAATGGATTTCCTCTAGAATTAACATTGTGGTACTTTGTACATAACATAATTGTTTGAATCATAGAAATGTGGGGTCTTTTTGTGCTCTGTATGGGTTTAAACTATCATTACCCCTGAAGATGTTTCAAAGGCAAACAAAGGAAAAAGGGAACTGTGAAGAAGTGCAATGTCATTGGGGTCTTGAATAGCACAGACAGGATTGGGCTGCGCCTGGGAGAAAAGTAAAAAGTACTTTGTGAAAGAGAAAATAAAATTATTTGGGGTTTTACACCCTCTTCTTGTTATAAATTCAGGTAACTTCTGAAAGATGTTTTTAATTTCTGACACCTTTTGAATGCTTTATCAATACACTGGCTTTCTCTATGCCTTAATTCACAGCAAATCACTACTCATCTGCAAGTATTGCACATTCATTAGCCAAGCAGGCAATGCAGGTGCTGCTGAGGAGGTTTCCATGTCTCAGAAGGACCCTTGGATCTGTGTCCCAAATGTCCCTTCTTCAGCAGCAGTGATTTGCTCAGCATCATGGGAGACAACACTTTTGTTTGTTTTAATATTTCTGGACACACTGGATTTATTAGACTTCATTTTAAAAAAAAAACAGATCTCACCACCACTATTGGCAAGAGCTGTACTCATATTCCCAAGGAACTGATATTAAAAAAATATGGGTAGAAAAAAATCCAACCACTAATATTGAAAAAGTGCTTTGAATTTCTATTACTATGATATCTACAAATATAGTGTACATGGTTTTGCTTTGAATCAAAATTTCTAAC